TAAAGCAAGATCTGGAAGACCAAGAAAAATATCAGACAGAACAGCTCGCAGGATTGTGAGAAAAACAATTGAAAACCCACGTTTGACTGCACGATCCCTCCAGAAAGATCTGGCAGACACTGGAGTTGTGGTACACTATTCCACTATAAAGAGATACTTGTACAAATATGGTCTTCATGGAAGAGTCATCAGAAGAAAACCTCTTCTACGTCCTCACCACAAAAATCATCGTTTGAACTTTGCAAATGAACATATATCCTGCCTACTGGGCACTTCTACCCCCTTCCTGCCTACAGGGCACTTCTACCCCCCTTCCTGCCTACAGGGCACTTATACCCCCTTCCAGCCTACAGGACACTTCCACCCCCTTCCTGCCTACAGGGTACTTCTACCCCCTTCCTGCCTACAGGGCACTTATACCCCTCCCTGTCCAGGCCAATTTTCAGCTTTCAGAGCTGTCACACTTTGAACGACAATTGCGCGGTCATGCAAACACTGTACCCATATGACATTTTTATCATTTTTTTTTTGACAGATAGAGCTTTATTTTGCTGGTATTTAATCACCTCAGGGTTTTTTTATTTTTTTGCTAAACAAACCAAAAACCACTGAAAAATTTTGAAAAAAAAAAAAAGAGTTTTTTCTTAGTTTTTGTTATAGAATTTTGTAAATAAGTGATTTTTCTCCTTCACTGATGTGTGCTAATTAGGCTGCAGTGATGGGCACTGATAGGCTGCACTGATGGACACTGATAGGTGGCATTGATGGGCATTGACAGACATCACTGATGGGCACTGAAAGGCAGCACTCATATATGGCACTGATAGGCGGCACTGATAGGTGGCACTGATAGGCAACACTGACTGGCACTGATAGGCGGCACTGACTGGCACTGTTAGGTGGCACTGTTAGGGGCACTGATGGGCAGCACTGATGGGCACTGATAGGCAGCACTGACGGGTACTGATAGGCAGCACTGATGCGCACTGATAGGCAGCACTGACTGGTAGCACTGATAGGTAGCACTGACTGGCATTGATAGGTGGCACTGACTGGCACTGATAGGTAACACTGAAAGGCAGCTCAGATGGGCAGGTGACACTTCTGGAGCTACACTGATCATCAGGGCACACTGATCATCAGTGCCCTGATGATCTGTGTACATGTCCCCTCTGAGTAATGCAGATTACCGGCTCTCCTCTCCTCTCCTCTGTCAGCTGACAGCTCATGAGGAGAGAAATGCTGATAACCAGCATTTCCCTATTTACATGAGAACAGCTGTGATTGGACGCAGCTGATCACATGACTGAGCCGAAATCTTCGGCTCTTTCTGTTGATCGGTGATCCGCTGTGTCCGATCGCCGCACTGCATGCTCCCAGAGCCACGCATGCGTGGTTAGAATGGGAGCACGTCATATCATGTCCTCCCAGAACGAGAGAACCGCCTTGCGCCCGTCATTTCCTTATATGGTGGGCGTGAGGTGGTTAAAGAGAAAAGGCATGAGCTGATTGGACAATATCAACTGGCATCATGTACATCCAAATTAACAAATGGAATGAGATTTGGATCCATTCCTTATCTGAATCCAAATTATCGAACATGTTCGAAACTTGAATTACTTTCTTCATGGGCCCAAACTACTAACACATCATGTGATGTCATCTAATGAAACAAATGATCAAATACATTTGTTAATTTTGTTATAACTTTTTTCGATTCATTGGAATTCGTTACTTTGTCCATTTGGAGATTTGTGTACTTCAGAATCGCCAAAATTACATTTTCATCTAAAAAGGAATCTAATTGAAATGAAATGCACATGTCTAGCTTTAACTCTATTTGAGATTATAATGTCACCCTCCTCCCTATATAGAGGTTTGTGAGTCACAAAACTGGCTAGGCAGAATCACAAATATTTTAGTAGGTAAAACTGTCCAAATACATGTATTGTAACTGGGTTTTTAAATAGTTTTGTCCATCTTTAAACTCAATTGAACGTTCAGTTTAAAACAGCTAACAACATTAGCCTCCTCGGCGGTCTGATTATTTCAGATTTTTTGTGCTGAAAGCGGTACATTTTTTTGCATGGAAATATGTAGTTTTTTATTGTAGGCTGTAATTTTTAGGAATAACTCACTGAAATCTGTCCGAACAAGAGTCTAGTAAACATCCCGGATATGATAAAACTTGAAACACGAAATCATAAATTATAATATAATAAATAATCATAAAAAATAATAATATAATAATGATAAATTTAATTCAATAATATAATCAAACCAAAAACACTGAAATTAGAAATACAGAGGCAAATTCGCACATCGCTGAGCAAAGTCGCAAAATCGTTTTCAGCGTCTGATGACGAATTTCCCCCATGAATCATTATCACTCAATTCTGCAAGTAGTTCTGATTTACTATCGCTGTTCTAAAACTGCTTTTGACCTAAAGGGACGCTTTTTGGACGCCATGGACTTTTCTAAGTTTCCAGGCAGAAAGAACATTCAAAATGCAGGCAGGGCGCCGGACAAAGCACTCGGGACAAAATGTATGTGAAATGCATTGAAACAGCAATGACAGCAAAAATGACATTTTTTAAAAATTTCAAATTTCCCGCCAGTTCCAGCGCCCGTACGTCCCGACATCACAGGGACCAGAACACGGAAGCCGGATGCCGGCATCGGCCGGAGGAGATGGCCGGGGATGCTGCAGGGGACACATCGTGGGAGCGAAGGACAAGGTAAGCGCTGCAGGGACTCCCTGAGCAGCGCCGCATGGTAAGCCCGAGTGTAGCTCGGGGGGGTTACCGCTCTTGGTACTCAAATTTTACCCCGAGCTACACTCGGGAATACCGCCAGGGAGGTTAAAGGATCATTAAAACAAAAGGTTTTCAATGTCTTACAGTCTGGTTTTCATTCTTAAGCAGCCACAGTAGAAAGGTTTGCCCCTGCCAGCATGCCAGAGTGGGACCCTTGCTCTTCATGGGGACACCCTGCTGAGTCAGAGTCAGAGACGTCCAATCAGCAGGAAGCATCAAGTTTGCTGATTACAGAGCTATAAATCTGTCTCAGTGGGGGTTATGCTTGACCTCTGCAGAGAGATCACTAAGGCTTCATGCACACAAGGCATTTTTGCATCTACTTTTAGGGGCATCAGGCATTTTTTAACTGCTTCCAAACAGCCCTCCATGTTATCCTGTGTCCATGCACACATAGCAGAGCCAGATCCAACCTGTCTGATGTGGGGGTGCAGTAAAAAATGTCAGGGGGGCAGAGGATGTGAGTTCAGTGGGGTATAGATAAATGGGGGAAACCTCCTGCGCAAAATCCTAATAAGCTAAAGATAAGCTGCTACACCTTATTACCTGAAGTGATAAACCAAACTAAACACAAAATAAGTGCAGCGCTCATAAATAAACTAAATCTCTATATATACACATAATGACATATTAGTGAACAAACGTGAATCACATTGAAGAAAAAAAGTGCAACAACACAATGGTGCTACAAGTGAAGATAACCATTAATAAGCCCCTATATCAGGGGATATATCTAATAATGATAGTGCTCAGTGTCAACACACTCTATTCATCAATATAAATGACTAAGTCACCCTGAGGAAGTCACGTGAGAGGTGACGCAACGCGTAGGTGACGTCATTTCCGGTGCGGACACCATGTTTGGACACCCTAGAGAACCCAGCAAGTACACCCATGCATGAGGTTATATATGCTCTGTACAAGAAGAGGAAAAATGTGAGTGTCCTGTATATGTTATCTTACTGTAACAATAAATGATAATGCACTATGGAGGCTTTTTTCTTTGTGGATTATGTGGGAGCTGATATGTCTGGATAAGAGCCATTTAGGATATTGCTGGTGGATACGCTTTTACCCAGGAGGATCCAGGAGAGATCCATAAGGCATTTAGGCCCTTTTAGGGTCTAAATGCCTTATGTGCTGTGCTGTGTCCTCCCCCTCCTGTCAGTGCAGCATTCCTCCACATAGCACATCACTCAGGATCGCTAGTTCGGGCTGCACTCTACCTCCTCCAAGGACTGCTCATGTCCCTGCAGGAGGAAATGCGTATAGGGTGGGTAATTAAACTGTGTGCAGCCCAAACTAGCGATCCTGTGTGATGTGCTGTGTGGAGGAACGCGGCACTGACAGGAGGGGGAGGATACAGCACAGCCTCTCTCCTGTCTACCGCTGCTGCTGTCTGCTCTTTACTAATCACAGATCACTGCACCAGGCTGCACATTCCAGTGTTTGGATGGGGCAGAAATTCAGCTGGCCACGGGGGGCACAACCAGAATCTAAGGGGACCCAGCCCACTCCAGCACCCCCCTAGATCCAGCCTGGACACATAGATTTTTAGAAGCATTTAATAGCAGTAGCGTTTACCAGCAGGAAAAAAACCCAGGAACAGTGCATCCGGGAGCAGCAGAAAAACGCTAGACGTGTGGAAACGAGTCTAAACGCATGTTAACGCAAGGTGCGTATAGCACTTGAGCATTAATTCATTTCAATGGCCTGAATCAATTATTATTATGGACAATTAAATGGATTAACACCCAAGCGCTTGACGCCTGTAAACATGCTTACACGCTTGGAAAAGCACTAGACACTTTGACAAACGCCAGACATTTTTTTCTGCCAAAACGCTGCTGCCAAGAGGAGGGTTTCCAAAATGTCCTGTGTGCACAAGGCCAACAACTGACTTCAAACCAACATTTAACTTTGTGTTATGTTCTTTAACTAGTAGCCGACTGCAGATAGCCGAATGACGGCTGCACTGCGGCCGGCCAGTTCTGGGTGGACGTCATATGACGTCCTCCCAGAACGCGCTCTCCTGCGTGCCCCAGGGGGCGCGCACCCAGCGATCTCCGTGATCGCTGTGTCCTACGGACACAGCTGATCACGTGATGTGGTAAAAGGCCAATCACAGCGGCCTTTTACCACGTGATCAGCGGTGTCCAATGACACGCTGATCAGAGGGAAATGCAAGTGCCGGTTCTCGGCTGCACTTTCCTCACGCTGTCAGATCGTGAGGAAAGTACTGCCGAGAACCGGCAGTTGTCAGAGCGGGGATCGGCACCGATCATCAGGGCACTGATGATCAGTGCCCTGATGATCGGTGCCCAGCAGTGCCACCCGCAAGTTCCGCCCACCTGTGCCCAGCAGTGCGCCCACTAGCTCCACCCACCTGTGCCCAGCAGATCACCCACCTGTGCCCAGCAGTGCGCCCACTAGCTCCACCCACCTGTGCCCAGCAGATCACCCACCTGTGCCCAGCAGTGCCACCCACCTGTGTCCACCAGTGCCACCCACCTGTGCCCACCCACCAGTGCTGCCCACCAGTGCCACCCACCAGTGCAGCCCAGCAGTGCTGCCAGTCAGTGCTACCAGTCAGTGCCCAGGGGTTGTGCCAGTCAGTGCCGCCAGTCAGTGCCCAGCAGTGATGCCAGTCAGTGCCGTCTATCAGTACCCATCATCAGTGCCGCCTATCAGTGCTGCATATTAGTGCTGCCTATCCGTGCCACCTCATTAGTACTGCCTATCAGTGCCCTTTAGTGCTGCCTATCAGTGCCCATCAGTGCCGCCTATCAGTGCCCATCAGTGCTGCCTCATCAACGCACATCAGTGAAGGAGAAAAAATACCTGTTTGAAAAATTTTATAATAGAAACAAAGAAACTTTTTTTTTTTTTCAAATTTTTTGCACTTTTTTTATATATAGCGCAAAAAGTAAAGCGCCCAGTGGCAATTAAATACCACCAAAAGAAAGCTCTATTTGTGAGAAAAAAATGATCAAAATTTCATATGGGTACAATGTTGCATGACCGCGCAATTGTCAATCAAAATGCGGCAGCGCTGAAAGCTGAAAATTGGCCTGGTAAATAAGGGGGTATAAGTGCCTGGTAGGCGAGGGGTTAATGATTATTGAGAATAAATAACTTGACATTTTGATATTACAAGCAGCTACAGTTGTGTTGAAAATACTAGCAGTTAGACATCACTAACCGGATCAATCCCTGTTTTTGGTGGAAATGATATTTCTACATGGCAAATAATTTCCTAGCAGGTGTAGTAGAGTCATAGAAATCCAACAGACCCGACAGTCATGACATGCATGCTGCTGATTCTGTGTCATTGAATCACTCATTGAAAGGGGCGTGTTCACAATAATAGCAGTGTGGAGTTCTATTAGTGAGGTCATTCATTCTTTGAAAAACAGGTGGCAATGATTGCCCTTATTTAAGGAAGGAAGGCAGCAAATGTTGGACATGCTGGTTACAGTGCATTTCTCTCTGAAATTCTGAGGAAAATGGGTCGTTCCAGACATTGTTCAGAAGAACAGCGTACCTTGATTAAAAAGTTGATCGGAGAGGGGAAAACATATAAAGAAGTGCAGAAAATGATCGGCTGCTCAGCTAAAATGATCGCAAATGCTTTAAAATGGCAACCAAAACCTGAAAGACGAGGAAGAAAGCGAAAAACTACCATTGGAATGGATAGAAGAATAGCCAAAATGGCGCGGACTCAGCCAACAATCAGCTCCAGGAAGATGAAAGAAGGTGTGACGTTCCCTGTGAGGACTCAGCCAACAATCAGCTCCAGGAACGCTATTCCATGCACACATCAACACTGTTGTCTGCCATCTTGATTAATGGTTTCTGGACTGGCCTGCGACATACGCCTATCAGTAATAGGACACATTTGCCATTTACTACTGCATGTAGTACTGCCGCGCTAGCTTTTTTAACCTGTAAAATTAAAAGTCCCGGTTTGATTTGAATGCCCCTCATATTTAAAATGGAATAGGTTATTTTGCAAGGTGAGGGTTTACGGATACTTTATTATGTAAGTTGGGACCAAATAAGTCTGTAAAACAAGTCAATCATTTGTTGCCAAAGAATTAAAATCCACCATACAGTATAAATCACTGTAAGGCTCCTTTCACACTGGTCCACTTTTGCTAAACTTTTCCAGGTTGACAAATGCACATGAAAATGATTCCTCATAAAATCCTATGTAATTGCTCACACTGCAGTTGTGCCGAGCTTTGAAAACTCCTGCATGCTATAGTTTTTCTAAAGTGCACCAAAAAGGCACCATCATTTGTAAGTCAATGGGAATTCATCAAAAGCACATCAGCGTGAAAGGGCCCTTAGAATCTATGAAAACCATGAAGTACAGTATAGCCAAATAACAGCGTCAACCGCTTTCTCTATTATGGTGGAGCAGCTAATATGCAGTCCAAGGCCTGACCCACCCAGGGGTGGACTGACCATTTGGAAACTCGGGAACTGCCCGAGGGCCCGGGGTCAGTAGGGGGCCCCATGAGATGCCCCTGGTACCTTTTTCATAGGCTTTTTTGAGTTTGGGCAAGGACAGGAGCCCCATGATCCCCTATTGCCCAGGGGCCCCATGAGTTGTCAGTCTGCCCCTGCCTGGTACATTTTTCATAGGCTTTTTTGAGTTTGGGCAAGGACACAGGGGCCCCATGATCCCCTATTGCCCGGGGGCCCCATGAGTTGTCAGTTTGCCCCTGCCTGGTACCTTTTTCATAGGCTTTTTTGAGTTTGGGCAAGGACACAGGGGCCCCATGATCCCCTATTGCCCGGGGGCCCCATGAGTTGTCAGTCCGCCCCTGGACCCACCTGACTGCCACAACAGTGAGAAAAGGAAGAGTAGCCAAATATAAAACTAAAATTGAAATCCCCACACGTGACAGAAGCATGAGCATTTAGAAAGGCCAGCATTCCATGTAAAATATGGAATTTTACTGCAAACAACAATCAGTGCCACATTTCAAGGGAGCACATGTCCTCTTTGTCCACTGGCAAGGAAGTCATACATGCTCTTGAAATGCACAATGGTGGTTGCTGTTTGCAGTAAAAGATCGATATCTTACATGGAGTGTTGGCTTTTTTTTTGTTAAGTCTTCAGTGGCATAACAACTGGCAGTGCAAGAGGCAGGAGGTATATGTGTGCGATGAAAACATCTTTAGACCGTACGGCCATCATGACATGAAATTTGCATCTTTAACCCCCCTGGCGGTATTCCCGAGTGTAGCTCGGGGTAAAGTTTCAGTACCACAAGCGGTAACCCCCCCGAGCTACACTCGGGCTTACCATACGGCGTTGCTCAGGGAGTCCCTGCAGCACTTACCTTGTCCTTCGCTCCTGTGATGTGTCCCCTGCAGCGTCCCGGCCATCTCCTCCGGCCGATGCCGGCATCCGGCTTCCGTGTTCCGGTCCCTATGACGTTGGGACGTACGGGCGCCGGGACCGGTGGGAAATTTGACATTTTTAAAAAATGTCATTTTTTAAAAAATGATTATTATATAGTAAAACATTGCTGTTTCAATGCATTTTACATACATTTTGTCCCGAGCGCTTTGTCCGGCGCCCTGCCTGCATTTTGACTGTTCTTTCTGCCTGGAAACTTAGAAAAGTCCATGGTGTCCAAAAAGTGTCCCTTTATGTCAAAAGCGGGTTTAGACCGGCTAGAGAACAGCGATAGTAAATCAGAACCACTTGCAGAATTGAGTGATAATGATTCGTGGGAGAAATTCCTCATCAGACACTGAAAACGATTTTACGACTTTGCTCAGCGATGTGCGAACTTGGCGCTATATTTCACATTTCTGTGTTTTTGGTTTGATTATATTATTGAATTAAATTTATTATTATTATATTATTATTATTTTTTATGATTATCTATTAAATTATAATTTATGATTTCGTGTTTCAAGTTTTATCATACCCGGGATGTTTACTAGACTCTTGTTCGGACAGATTTCAGTGAGTTATTCCTAAATATTACAGCCTATAATTAAAAAAATACATATTTCCATGCAAAATAATGTACCGCTTTCAGCACCAAAAATCTGAAATAATCAGACCGCCAGGGAGGTTAAAGTTTGAAGTATGACTATGCTTTCACAAAAAGGGGCTGCGGCCTTTCTAAAATTACAAACTTTTTCAGGCTATCAATTTTACATCCGAATGGTTCTTCAGAGGTCTTTGGGTATTGTATCCCAGTTCATCATTTCTAGCAATATACAGTATTAGTATTGTGCTCATCTTAATGACTGCAACAGTAAACATGTCCAACAAAAAGCAGTAGTCTTGTGGTTGAACAAAAATAAACACTCACAACATTTGTATGTAGTCCTACAATTTATCATGTCCGCATGCACTGACCCTCTTAAGAAATAAGCTCCACATGTAGCATGCCCTTTTCTGAGTTAAATTAGTTTCTCATGCAGATGGTCTTCATTTCACAAACCTGACGAATTATTCCACCTTCCTAACGAGCCACTAATTTAGCATTTATTCTTTCTAAAATTGCATAACATCAGGGTATGATAAATATCTGTCAAGGTCCTACCTTTCTTCAGAGCTTGTGCATCTCCATGAGCTGGCATCCATCTTGGTTTTCTGCAAAGCATGGTGGGAACCTTTATGCCTTCAGGCTTCTGCGGCTCCTCCTCAGAAGGGTGTGGTTGAGCACATTTAAACCTGCTGTCTGCAAGTGTGCTCTGCACTTGTGTCCTGTATGTTGCCCTGTTGCAAGCTCTTGTGTTTGTTCCCATTGCTCTCCTGGTAACCGACTCGGGCTTGGACAAGACTACTCTCTGCGTTAACCCTTTACCTGACATCCCGTTGCTGAACCCGGCCCGTGACCTGAGAATTCTTTGCCTACCGTCTAGTACTGTCTGCTCCGTTGTTATTGACCCGGCCTGTCTGACTACTCTACTCGTGTTCCCATCTAGCTCCCACCAGCTGTACGCCATTGGCGGCAGTTGTTATCGCAGTTGGGGTCACTCGGGGGCCGCAACCTGGTCTCAGGCTGCGTCAAGTCCATCCCCACCATCAGGGGCCCTGGTGAAGGGTAGCCTGGGGCTTAGACTCCGCGCCCTGAGGGACTCTGGTCTGTGGGTAGTGGCTGTCGTCAGTCGCAGCGTGACCGTACCATAGGCCTGCCTGCCCATTCCAGCGTTCCTGCCCTGACAATATCATACATTAGTTTACATGGTTATGACAACTGCAGATAAAGGTATAGCCTTGAGTTAAAATTTCAACAGAAATAGAGTCAATGGAAAAATGGAGTCTTTGCTTTTTTCAGTTTAGTTCTACTTTCAAATATATTATGGATATTGTGACCGTGTGGCGATCTGTCACTATGTGGAAAGGTCATCACCCTGGATTCTCAACAAGGCAGGTTGAGAGGCTCCGGGGTACATGTTTGAAACAGAGGAAAGTGGATTTTCACTTTCTTCATTTGTTTGTAAGGTCCATTTTGGGACCTGGACCCTTGAGATTTCAAAGTGATTTGGGAGGGATGAAATCTCCAATCCTGAGACCAGATTTTGGGAACGGCCAGGAGACTGATTGGGCAGGTGTGCCTCGCTCTCTTCTAGAGTCAGGACCAGGGTTCTGGGATTCTGGGA